CCCCGCCACCGCCACTGCCCCCTCTGCGGGCCGGCCGCCGCCCGGCTTTCTTTCGCTAACTTCATTCAGCAAACTCTTAAGAGATCTCTACCCCCGCCCCCGCGCCACGCCGGAAATGAGGGTGGAATTGGCTCTCCAGCATCTGCGGCCCTTTGTTCTCCACAAAGACTCCAGTTCGCCCCGGTTGTATCCTACTCGGCGACTCAACTCCGGTGTAGAAGTATTCAGTGCACGCGCCGGAGGGTTGCGGGTTAGCCTATAGTGTGTTCCAGCCGTGGTGCGCCACGAGTAGGCAAACCCACGGCACTCTGGCTCATACACCGGACACGACGCTTCACACATTCAATGCGGCATGACCACCATGTGGCCACCCTACAATTTTAAATCTGATAGGCACAAAAAATGACCCTTGCACAACTCTGAAAACTCAACAGTGTACATTGCATGCTGTGCTGATGTATCGACAATCTTCAATGATCATGTTTAGAGTTTTGGCTAAGATTTACTTTCAGACAGATTATATTGAAAAGTGGATAGCATTTCAAGATTCCTCGTGAAAAAGGGTTTCAAACGAGCTACTGTGTGATATAGGGTTCAAATTGACCGCTACCAGGACTTGGTTTACATTACCGACATTTTCGAGAAGCGGTCCATTTCGGTAGTTCCATTCCGATGATATCCGTCTGAAAGGAAATATTGGCCAAAAACCTAAACATGATCATTGATAATTGCTGATATATCAGCAATCATTCCATGAACATTGATTTATCAGCAATCATCAATGATACAAAGCACACTGTCGAGTTTTCAGAGAATGTACAGTTTTCAGCTCGGTTTTCAGAGTTAATGTGTTAAACACTCTGTTAACCAGTTGTCCATCACTCTGAATTGTTATGGCCCTTTTTGGACGTAATTCAGTGTGCATGCGTTATTGTTATTTAAACGCAATTATGAACAAATTAGGAATATGAACAATTTTTTTCGTGTCTGCGTATACCAGGTGGCTGATTCACGCCGCGCACTTTTGTATTTATGCTGTACCGAATGCACGAGTGCGGGCGGGTTGCCTACTCGCTCGGCTCGTTATGCGCAGTGGACAGGGGCGATAGGCAAGCCCGCCCACACACGTGCATGCGGTACAGTATACCTACAGAAGTGCGCGGCGTGAATCAGCCACCTGGTACAACACTACGCTATGGCGCAGGTACACAGAATTACGTAAGTGGTTATAATCAAGAATTCAGTGTCCATCGGAACAGAGCAGTGCTGTTCGGATGGGTTGCCAGAGCACTGGCGCCCCTGCTATTGCCGGGTTAGGCAGCGGGCTGCTCACGGCTGCCGCGTGGCTGGAAGCGTTGCCTATCCCCGGGACCGCAGGCGCTCAGCCGGCCGGCGGCGCGGCGGCCAGCTTCATGGAGCTGCGGCAGCCCCCACCCGCCCCG